ATCAAAACACCCCCCCCCCCCAGCATTTTTGGCCATATTCTTTCTTGCTGTTTTCAGTGACCTCCTGACTTCAACTATGTTTACGTCTAGGCCGGTTAAAGTACCACTTAAATGCATTTTGGCTGCAAAAAACTACCGGCTGGTAATTTGCTAAGAAGCTTTTCGGTTTTAAGTAGTCATCTAGTATTGGACACTTTTTAAATAGTCATGTCATCCGCATGGCTGATTGTTGCCCTCTTGTTTCTGGAATTTTTTTTAGGACATGTAGAAATTGTCAAGATGTATCTAGTTTTGTGTAAGCAGAAAGTTTAATTACTAACCTTTCCCATGTGTGTATCCTATTGCCAGTTATAGGAATTGCTCATAATTACTTGTGGAACATAGAGATTATTTTAGTAATGACTCCCTTGGCTTTATTCCCAGTTTTTCCATTATGTATAGTTATAAATTTTCCTGGGTTTGAGTTGACATTCAGAAGAATTTTAGAATTGCATTTTAAATACTAAATTGCATAAATACTTCAAACAGAGATATACTGAGTATTTGGGTGGGTAATCCTACTCGTCTCTTATTCTTCGCTACTGCTCTCCGATACCGGAAGTTCCGGTCAGGGGGACATCTTCCACTGAACGGCAGTGCCAAGGGAGCATAAAGCCAGCTTCCTTTCCAATCCGTAAGCCAGGCGGTGGGTTATGACCCCCCCTTCCCGCCTACCTGATTGGCTAGGAAGCCGGCTTCACTTAGGTCAGGAAGCCATGCTGACTAGACACATCAGGAAGCCGGATGGCACCTCACGACCTCCCGCCCAGCTTTCTGATTAGTCAGGCAGCCTCGGCAAATTACATTTTTAGGGTTATTTAGATAGAACACCGGCTTCCCAGGCAATCGGGAAGTCGGCATGATCCACCGCCTAACTTCCTGATAATTGGGGCACACAGCACCCGTATCGGTACTCTGTATTGGCCCGTACTAGTGGTGAAAAAAAAAATATATCAATACTAGATACCGAAAAAACTGTATTGGTGCTTCCGTTCCCTGCTTCACTGAGAGCCCTGTCACACAATGTTCAGACCAGATTTGCGCGCGTTTCCGCCAACACGTTGCGTTTGTGACACTTTCCACTGCGGGCTTTTTTTGTCCATGTCATAGCTTCTGGTGCGTTCCAGTGCAGGAAAAATGTGGCCTGCAGCATCTTTTTTTTTTTCCTGCACTGGAATGGATTTGACTGCTGTGAACAGAGCCCCAAAAGCACATACAAATGCATTTTTGGTGCGGAAGAAACGTGTAACATATCGCATCTGATCCGGACATGGGGCGAATGGGCCCTGAGGACGGACTTATTATAATTAATCTGAAAGCTCTCTATAAACAAAAGCCTTGTATGAGATGGGTTCTTAGACATTATTATAGTTGAATATGAGTGCATATGTAGGGCCCAGAAACCAGGCTTACTAGTAATAAGAATAGAGCGAACAGGAGGTATGACATTAAGGGCAAGAACACATACTAAAAAGATGCTGGAAGAAGAGGGACAAGAAGAGTACTCATTGGTCAGCATAGTCACCTGTCTATTGAGAAGCACTTCTCAGTGGTCAGGTGACTGTGCTGACCAATGAATGCTCACCATTTGTAAGCATTGTTCAAAATGCTCAGTGCAGGGCTGCGGTTTGGTGTACGGATGGCACACCAGCCGTTGGGGGGGGGGGGGGGGAAAAAAATGT